CATTTTCGACTGGGTCTTAGCTGTAAACTATGCGGTGCTGTCATGTACTGGGATAATTCGAGAGGTCAAACATTTTCATCGTCCAAACCGAACGTGTCCAACAAGATGTCCCACTGAAATTTTTCTGCTTCTTGCCGGTATTGAGTTTGAATGTGGTTTGGTCGTAGTTGGTTGATGTCTTCTCCAAATTTCTTTTCCAACGTCGACTTTGTAGATCACATTTCTTTTCTTGCCCAGGACAGCACCACTGGACCACTTTTCGGTACCTTGAAAGTTTCTTGCGTAAACCGCGTCACCAATGTCTCATTTGCTGCATTTCGGGCGTCCTTCCTCTTGGGCCTAAGACTATCGTAAGTAGTCCTAATTTTCCGTCCAAACATGCATTCTGCGGGCGATTTTCCACCGGGAACGTTTGGGTTTGGGGAATTTCGGTACATTGTCAAAAATGGTTGGATCGTGTTGCCCGACGTCTTCCCTCCTCTCACTTTAAGTAGAACCCGTTTGAAGGTATCCACGAATCAATCAGCCCGCCCGTTGGATTGAGGATGATAAGGCGGTGAGAACTTTTGCTCGATACCATTTTCTTTGCAAGACAGTCTGAAGTGTTTTGAGGTGAATTGAGTTCTATTGTCAGTCACAATTAGCTCCGGATTACCAAAATATTGCAACACTCTAACCAGTTCATCGACAGTAGACTGTGCCGTCGTACTGCGCAAAAGGAACACATCTGGCCATTCAGTGAACGAATCCACCAAAATGAGATAAGTCTGACCGTTGACTGGACCTGCATAATCCAAGTGAATACTTTCCCATGGTTTCTTGCTTTTTGGCCATGGTTGTTCTGGACATTTAGGAGGTGCCTTTGCCGCTATTTGACAAAGTTCACGTTTCTGACAAAACTGCTCTATTTCTGCGTCCATTTGAGGCCAATAAACGAAATTCTCGCCAGGCCTTTCATACGAGTTGTACCTGGATGTCCTGAGTGAAACTGTTGTATCAGATGTTTTCGTAATTTCGTTGGCACTACAACTCGGTATCCCGTCATTCAACGTCTCCAGTCGTCGCTTTTGGGAGTGGACTAATGTGCCATCTTTTTCACTTGTTGTTTCGCTTACCGTCGCTTTTCCAAGGTCAGTCGATCGTATCGGTTGGTTTGCGGCACGAATGTTTCTCGTAGCAAACGCCTTTTTATCTCTCGAGCTTTCGATATCCACCTGATCGGTCGGTCTTTCCTTAGACTAGTTGATGTTTGAAGGATTTGCGTACGACCTACTTGAGGATTCAAATCGCGTGCAAGGATCATACAGTGCTCTTCGTTTGAAGGATTTGCGTACGACCTACTTGAGGATTCAAATCGCGTGCAAGGATCATAATGTCAGTGCTCTTTGCCTGACGAATTATCATGGATAACTCTCGACAGAAAGTATCCTTCTCCGTTTTAGAACTGCAGTCCGCTATGGCATAAGCCGACACGACAAACAGGCACCACCTTTTATGCCGAGGCATTGAGCTTGATTGAACTGGATAACCGGACGGCGCAAAGACGACTATCCATCGAGATCCTGTTCATCATCATCATCATCATCATCATCAAAGTCAGCAACATCAGTGGTGGAACTGATGCTCTACTGCTGTACAACCACAAGGTTGGTCTAGTTCGTCTAGTCACACCACCTTACCGTGGTGTGGCGGTTTATGTACCTCAAAAATACACAGAGCTATACTCGGGGTGTCCGCACGACAGTCTCTCATACCAGGTTGGTCAATTGTTAGAGGTCTCACAAACGCAGTCTCCTGGCCCTCCAGGTTGGGGGTTGGAACATGTGTCGACTTCCTCCGTAGAAATGGTAAGGCATTTGCATTTCCCCGCCAAACACCGCTGCCTTGCGGTTAGGCCTTTGAGCCAAAGGCTTTGGTTGAGGACCCTAATCGTCCTCGTGTCCAGGCGTGGGCGCCCTGGCAGCCCTCGTGCAATCATGCCGAGAGACATTGAGCTTGGTTGAACCGAATAACCGGACGGCGCAAAGACCGTTCACTACGATCCTATCCACCGAACGCTTTCAGCCCTGGGGCTGAGTGCCTCTCGCCCCACGAGTCATCGGTTTTGGGTCACCGGACACATGTATGGATAAATGTGAGAGAGATGAGTTGATCCTTGGCTTTTTGAGATGCATAACCACGCTGGGGTTGTGCATTTTTCGGAAACACAGCATCCATCAAGTTTAAGGGATTACAAGTTTTCAGGAAGCACTGCCTGTTTGCCAATTTGACATAGAGTACGGACTTTAAAAGCTCCTATGTAGAAAGGACCTCGTGGATTTAGAAAGGTGTTATTTTGCTTCTTTTTTCTAGGCAGCGAAGACCTTAAGGCCCTTCGATCAGACGACTGACAGTCTAATGACCCAGCGACGTTTGCTTGTGCGGTGAGAAGGGGTTGGGGAGGGACATCGGTGGACGCTGAACTGCGGGGGCAAATGACAATTCCCGGTTGCCCAGGCCGAGGAAGGGGGTTGGTTGAGGCAACCCACCTTGAGCCTTCGACCCTAAAGTCTGACCCACAAGGCAGTGGGAGGACTTGGGGTTTTGTTGGGGGACCCTGACCCTAGCCTCTGACTCAAAAGTCTGACCCACGAGGCAGTGGGAGAATGTAGGCTTTTCTTTGGGGACCCTGCCCGGAGCCGACGACTCAACAGTTTGACCTGCTCGGCTGCAGGGGGTTGGCCTAACCCGAGAACGCAGGGAATAGGGCATTACTGTCCCATTCCTGGTGCGACTGCGCACAGCAGGTGGCTGTTGGGCGGCACCGGGTTCTTTGGCTTTAAAAGTATTTCGACCGTATTGGATAATGGAGGACAGTGCGACTTTACCCACTGACCATCTCGTACCAGGATTACTCATAGTGCAGGGTTCCGCTGCTCTTGATCGGGCTGCTCCTCTCTGGCCTTCCTGGCATTGTTGCAGAATTTCCATCCAGGGTAGCCCAAGGGATCATTGCAGTACTCAAGCCCGACCATCACGTGAAAGGGGCTTTAGGTCGGGATCAAAGCTATCGCCAGGATTACTCATAGTGCAGGGTTCCGCTGCTCTTGATCGGGCTGCTCCTCTCTGGCCTTCCTGGCATTGTTGCAGAATTTCCATCCAGGGTAGCCCAAGGGATCATTGCAGTACTCAAGCCCGACCATCACGTGAAAGGGGCTTTAGGTCGGGATCTAAAGCTATCGTCGGCCTCTGATGACAAATATCCAAGGGATCGTTTTAACTTGGCCTCTGGCACGTTGGATTTAATTGCTTTGGTGTTGTAACGCGTTTCCTTTCAAAACGGTAATAAGGATCATGTCCCCACAGTGGTTTCGTAAAAGAGCGTCCTGTTTGCTGTCCTGTGTGCTGCGTCACGTTACTCTTGTGCTATTGGGGCGTGCCACATTGATCACGAAGTCGCAGATTGGATTATCGGAGGTTTATGTACAAAAGAGGTCCCTATCTAAAGATTACATGGAAGACGGCGAATCTCAACTTGGTTATCGTGTGCGAACATCTGCGTGAGCACCACTGCCCGTTCAGATGTGATACTTTAATTGCATCCAACTTGCAATGTTAGAAGGGTGGTAATATACTCGCTCACGTCATGTAAGAACCGGAACGCTGGAGAAATCAACAGAACACATCGCTGGGGAGCTTCAATAGGAGCGAAATTCTGTCATGTTGCTTCTTGCCCTCGGCCATTTTCGGTGCAAGATTGTTCAGACAAATATGATATGAATGCAAACTTCATAAATTTTGCAACTGCGAACCGCTAAAATAAACGTGAGCCGGGAGGAATATGAGAAAGTGCGGAAATAGCTGTCGTTAAGGCTAGTTGTTGCCTACTTATGCAATATTCAGTGGATAATCTAGCTTTTGTGGCTGTTCTCTTAACTTCAATCAATCACTATTGGGACGAAATTATGAAGGATAAGAAAAATATATTTTGGTAGCCGCGTCCATGACAGGGTTCAGCAAAGAGAGATGCAAATTACCGATACAGACCCAGCTAAACACTTTCAAGGCTGGGGAAGAGGGCCAGTCTTGAACGTGGAGTCTCATTCACAATAACCGCACGATGAATAGAAAGGTACTCCAAAAGGTGGAAAGTCAATGAAGAAGGAATGTGTGGGAGTAATCAGGAGAACAAGACGGCAAAATGTGTAGGAAGCAGAATTTTTGTAATAAGCCGCATTAAACTTTTCTCCTCAAAAAATTTTTGGTCTCTAAATTGGTTGAACACTTGTCAAGAAATATCATAAACGGCGTCTTCCTGCACAAGATTGGAGTAGCGAAGGACAAGACAAAATGACAGGTGTTATACGGGCGCATGTGGTGCACCAAACATAGAACCACACATTGAGAGCTAAGCCTCATTGTTGTTCACTGTCACTTCTTTCCTTACTACTTACTACTTTCCTTAATCACATACGTACTTACCACGGCTAGCAAAATAAGTGGGTGTTGAATATTGGCGAGAAGCACATCTCAGCCGGCCAATTTTTAAAATTTGTAAAGTTGACGCAAAATTGTCCGCAAGTTAACTTAGAGTTGGAGGCCTTGTTTTCCTGTCACGAAACGCTTTGTTATGGTAATACTCTTGGGTTTGATGCACAGCACTTGATTAGCTCTGTGTGTTAAGTTATTTTGGGAGAACCGGATTGGGTTTCTGGAGGATGTCAGAAAGAACCATACCCCTGTTGGGTTTTGTACACTTACTTCAGGACTTTCGGCCAAGAATTTCACTCCGCAGACAGCTCGACTGATCTCGAACCGCTGTCCTCAAGCTTTTCAATTTTGTGCTCTCAGTTGATCCACGCTTGGATGCTTGATGCCTCATCAGTCACTTGTTTTTGACCGTATATCTTGGACCCCGTTTTAGAAATTCCACAATTTTTAAGTTCGACCTTCATCCACTTATCTACTTCATCTTTTGTCGTTTCCAAATCCAAAAATTTTACCCCATAGATATCCACGATTCTTAGTAGTCTCACGTTTATACTGATGCCGCGCATCAAATGTGCAAGCCTCCGGCTTTCTGGCTCATGTGGACCTTCATGCGCATGTCACACCTTAATTTTTATTTTACAGTCCACAGTTGCAGCAACCGGAAGGCAATCCTTGGGTCACATCATTACTAAATCTCGAGTTTTTGTCCGAGGTGCTATTTTATCATAAGACGTGTTTGACACCGTTTCAGTGAACTCAAGTATATCTTCATGATATCACTGTGGTTAAGCGCGTTCTTCAGTGGGTCTCGGCGTTGAGGATAACCCTCTTCTGGTTGCCGTTTATCTGTCCGCTCTCATAAGTTTACTGTTTTACTCCAATCTACGCTTGTTTAATTTTCTCATGCATAATGCCCTCACTTGGCCAGATATTAGTGAACGTACACTGGCACGCACTGAGTTCAGGC